AAAATTAAACGACGACTAGTTTCATGACTGCCAACTTATTAGAGTTATAATAAAAAAAACATTGCATTTCATGAGGAATACTCTCCGTCCCAAATTAATTTGCAAAATCAACATTTTTTGTCAACCAATGCTAAATTTAAATCACCCTTATTGATAATTAATTCAAATTTTAATTATCAAAATTTACATATTCAGAAACTACATTAAAATCTCTATATGTTGCAAACTCCAAATTAGAATACAATTAAAAATGGATATCCTAATTAAGTAAATGAAATGAAATTGTTTGGCTAAAAAATCTTGACTTTGCAAATGAAGTTTGGGACGGAGGTAATATAATTTAGAACATGGATCGATTTGAAAACAATATTTTGCTAAAAATGTGATGCGACAAAGTCATTTTTTAATGATGAGTAAGTGCTAGGTCTAAATCCAACAATCTGGGTTAGGTTTGGCTGAATAGTATGAAAATAATAGCGGGTTTGAAAAACTGGGTCGACTTTCGCTAAAAATATGTTACGTTGAGATTCAGCTCACTATAATCTTGTTGTAGATCTTCCCTGGCCCTTTGAGTATATGTCTACGTAATTTCATATACATCATACAATGTACCATATATATATTCCAATAGATGAATAATTGAATAGAATATACCATATTTGCAGGCTCAAAGCGAAAAGGCGGATAACAATGCTCTTCGAACTGAAAATGAGAGAATTCACTGTGAAAATATTGCTATGAGGGAGGCACTCAAGAACTCTGTTTGCTTAAGCTGCGACGGTCCTCCTCTTGGAGGAGAAGAAAGGAAACATGTCATTCAATTATTGAGAATGCAAAATGAACAACTAAAGGAAGAGGTTGGTTTATACATCCTTTTCTCTGGAAAACAACTACCCTTCCATCTTACAAAATAGTTCTTAACTTTTCAACCATTCATGCATGTGACCTGCCCTGAGTATGTCTTGGTGTGGGTGAGGAAGGTGCTATATTGTAAAATTATACTACCTCCGTTCTTAAATAAGTGCAACATTCTAAATTTTACACTATTCACATGTTCTACTTTGACTACATTTTATTTATTGATGTATTAATATATTTTTTTGAAAAAAATATTACTAAATTTGTCTCATTGTAAATTTTCAAAATCTGATTTTTTTCAATTTTTTTTACTAATAGAGAGTTATATATATAATGGTCAAAGTTGTGTCTCGGCAAATGTGAAATGTTGACCGTTGCACTTATTTAAGAACGAAGGAAGTATTCATTAGGCCTTGAGAAATTAAAGCCTTATATAGTTATATATTTCCATGTCACCATATGTAACAAAACAAATATATAAAGAGTATGTAGTCTTTGTAACTTTATAGAGTTGTGTTAGGTAACAATATACTACAGAGTAATAAATTTACACTTATAGTATATATTTAATAGTTAATTTTTTGTTAAATCTATATATACTTATTATTAAGTCCAAATATGGTGCATCGTACTTAGGGTGCAGATCTGGTACAAATTCTGCTTATTATGCAAACGCTTATTATGCAAACGATGCATCTTTACGCTATTTGTATTGCATATTGAGGTTCAAAGTGTTGCATATTAATATCTCTGATGAAATAGTTATTGCATATTAGCTTTCAAATAGTTGCATAAAGACATGGTTTTATTACCAAAATGCCACTGTGTAATTCTAGCTTTTAGATCAATTCAACAGATGATCAACATGAGTTTGTAGTTTGTATTTGATCCCTTATCATTACACCTATTAACTTATACAATCTAGTATCAGTAGCCATTACCTTGACTATACCCTTGAAGGGGGAAAGCATCCCGACCTTCCTCATTTATGGCATGTGCTCCAATTTAGGCAATCCTAAAACGTATGCGAGTAATGTGACAAAACTCATATTTAAGATAATGGACTCATGACTTAAAACAATTTCTTCATTTTAGTGGCATAAGTTAGGTGAAATACTAAAATGGGAACTACTTACCTGATATGAACACATACTGGAAAAAACATTTAATCCATATAATGAGACTTTTACGTATCTATCTTCTTCCTTTCAATCCGTCACCTCTCATCTTTGCTAGATTCAGACTATGGAGCTCTTCTTTGTTGGACGCCACACCTCTCTCCCCCCCCCTCTGTTTTTTTAAATCACATGATTGCTTCATCGATTTTGTTGTTTTCAATATATATTTTTCATTAGATTTTCTGAGTTACAACATCGATTTTTCTGATTTGTCGAAACTAGTTTCTATTGGATTCCCTCTTTAATTGAGAAGTTCAAGAGAATTCTAGAATATTGTAGAGATGTCTAGAATTCTCTAAATGTGAGTAGATAAGTATTTAATGTTCTAAAATATTCTGCATCTTTCTAGAAACGTTTGGAAGAGTGTAGAATATTCTAGAGCATTGTGAAGTTTTATAGAGAAGTATGAAATTCTCTAAATTCGTGTACAAGTACGTGGAGGACTTTAGAACATTCTAAAGAAATGCATGTGGAGTCTTCTAGATCGATCCTTCAAGAGTATTAAAGGTGTTTGTGCATACTTCTTGGAAGACTCGAGACGTGTAATGGTGTGTAGAAGTTCTAGAGAAGCCTTAAGGAAATTAGTATAAACATGTGTGAGACTCCTCATTCTATAAGATCCTTTAGGAGAGCTCTTGAGTGAGTGAGAGTGAAAGTCTTCTTGTGAGAGAAGAGAACATAAAGATGTCTATTGATGAGTGTATGCGAGGAGCATCCTTTAGGGCGAGAGGAGACTATCTAAGATTCTAAGAAGGCTTCTCATAAGTGTATTTGAGTCAAGTAGAGTGAAATAGTCCAATATACAAACAGTGTAGTGAGCTATCTAATTCCTTTTGAAATCTCTTTTGTATATTTTAATCGTATAATACAAAGTGATATTATCATATTGAATCTTTGTATTACTGAGTGTGTGGGTGAGTGAGTATACAAGAGTCATATGAGCTCGTGATTTATCCAATAGTTTCGGAGTTCTAATTTCTTACTCTGTATTTAATTATGTTTCCATTTTAATAAAAAATTCCAGTTTTCCCGGTTTCAATATTGGCTTCACGATTTTCCAAATTTGTGGCTGTTACGCGTAATATTTACAATTATATTATGGTAGACTTATAATTGATTTGAAAATATTACCATGTGGTCCATGTTTATGGCATATTTGACAATTATATCATGACAAAACCTCCTTCTTTTCTTTGACAAATTATTGAGTTTAATGAAGAAACTGCCAACATTAATATGCCAATATCAATGTAAAAATTGAATAATTTTCATATTTGGTATTTATACAAGGATGTCATTAAGATGACATTTTGCCACTAAGATGACATTACACTAGGAAGTTGGTGGATGCGGCAATAACTGCTAGTTTCGGGGTTTGAAATACTTTTGTTTTATTTGTCTATTTTTAATTAAAAATATACCTAACATTTGAATAAGGATAGTTTGGTCGAGTCATACACTTTTACTCCTATCAAACATTGAACTCTTATTTTAGAATGTCTCAATTAATATACAGACTAATTAAGAGAATTAACTCCCTTCGTCCCACTGAGATTGTATCTTCATTTCTTTTTAGTCTGTCTCACTAAGATTGTCTTGTATCAAATTTGGTAAAGTTTGTGTGGTTCTAATAACAGCCACACAAACACAATTTCTTAATAATCGCATCACTTCCTCGGGATTTCTCATATCACAATGTTAGTGGGACGGAGGTAGTACATATTGAGTGGACAAAGTCAAAAGTTACATGTTTGATAGCAAGAGTTACCAAAAGGACTCTTAGTTTTTGATCAATTCAATTATGGTTGATCCACGCTCAACTATTAGGTTCGGTCGCGTTAAGGCATCCGATGGACTTCTGCTTTTGAAGGTTTAAAATTTCGAAGAAAAATGCTTGGTGTATTCATATTTTGGTGTACACTTATCTATACAATTATCTATCTCGCGAACAAACAATTGTCTGTCCACAGACAATTCTGTAGAGTTGTTTGTGGACAGACAATTGTTTGTGCGTCAGACAGACAAGTGTACGAAAGGTGTACACCAAAATGCATGTGTACACCTAGCACAATTGCTAAAAATATAGTTCATGTTATAGCTTTAAACTCCTATTGTCTAATTTTTGTATTTTTATTTTTGGCTCGTTTGCATTATTTAAAAATCCTTTTAAGAACTTAATTAATTTTATGACCAAATACAACAATTTTAAAAGTTTTTCTTTAAATTTAAGATTTTTCGAAAAGCTACAATTAGGATGTTTTCTTTTGGACTGAAATTTGTTGGTCTGGTCTGGTTTGATCAGGGACTGAAAACAGTCCAAAATGCATGTTAATTAATTAACATTAATTAATTAATTAATCATATATAAGAAGATTTTATATCAAACATTTACTTCCTCCGTTCTCTTTTAATCGCAACAGTCAACATTTTACGTTTGCCAACACACAAGTTTGACCATTAATATTTTTCATTCCTTATTAGTAAAAAAATTAAAAAATTTATATTTTGAAAATTTAGAATGAGAAGAATTTAACAATATTTTTTTAAAATTTAATTTATATATCAAAGTAGAATAAGTGAATAGTGCAAAAAGTTCAAAGTTGCAATTAAAAGAGAACGGAGGTAGTATAACTATATCAAACCATCAACTTTTATGGCACACTTATAACATTTTTGTGTATAGATATTTATAAACTATCTTGTAAAACTTGTTGGGACAAGCCATGATGTGTTCATGTGTGTGGACTGTGGAGAAGCTCTTTATTTTACTTGATTAAAAAATCCCAAGTTAATTGTCATCTTTTCTCTTGAAAAATAAACAGCAATACATGAAATTGTGCATTATTTTTATAATACTCCATATAAGATTGATTTATTGTACTACGTAGTTTAATTGTCTTTAGTTTATGGTTTTTCTTGAACCGTGTATGAAAGAGGTGGAAATGTTTTTGTATATATATATAGTACGAAAAGATATCAACTATCATTTGCAATATCATGGGAAGATCAGTGATGAGTGGCTCTTTGCTCGAAGGAAACAACTTTTCATCTTCCACCGCCGGCACCGGCGCCGGTCACCAAGGATCACTCGGCGGCGGGATCATATCAAGTTTATCAACACCCACTACTGACCACCAGCCGCACGAAACAGTGCACCGGAATATTCTTCCAAACAGCAGTCCGGCGACTTTCCCGTTCACACTAGGCGGAGGAGCAGGGGAGGGAGGTAAAGGCACCGTGACAGACACGGTGGCAGCTGCCATTGCTGAGGTTGTGGAGCTTCTGCGAACGGATGAGCCGCTTTGGAGTCGAACCCAGGGTGAAAGGGGATTAGTCATCCACCGTGAAAGGTACGATAAGGTTTTTCCCAAGGGGAATTATTTGAAAAGCAGCACCGCGAGGACGGAGTCTTCTAAAGATTCCGGCGTTGTCGCCGCCACCCCTGTTCAGTTGATCGAAATGTGTCTTGACCCGGTATGTTGACTTTTTAACTTCCTTTAATATCCTGCATATGGCTCAAATAATGCACTTTTCCTCACAAAATCTTTCTTTAATTTTTTAATGAATTGTAGATGCATTTTAATAGAATAATTAGATATACCAAATTCAATCTACGAAATCATTCTCATTTCTCACCTTAAAACTTTTTTTATTTGACCCAGATTATATAGTAGGTATGCATTTGTGTGTATATATACGTATTATTATGTGAATATTAATAATTAAACTTGAGGAGTGTTTTTGTAAAAAATTAATAATTGTTGCAGATACCGGTGATTTCTAAATCAAATTGTCACAGGTCCAAATTGCCATAAATGTGTCACTTGAACTGATGTCACCGGGCCCTCCTAGAGAGTTTTAGTGGGAAAGAGATAAAATGGAGAATTTTTTGGGTGGGACATATATATCACGCATATGGATGACTAAGATAGATAAAAAGGTAGAGAAAAATAGAAATATAAAAAGAAATGAATGGAAAATGAAGAGCACAATGAGTGACATTTACTCTATATAACTTGCAAACAAGAATAAAAACAAACACCTACCACAAAGTAAAACGAGTGACAATTTTGTAACACTTAGCAACAAGAATGCATGGGGTTAAACATATGGAACTTATATTTGCAACTGAATACTACCTCCGTAACGTTAGGATCTTCCCACTTTGAAAGTGGGTGAAATTATGAATTGTGAAAGAGGATATTATTTATTGAGGATATGATAAGATGATAATGAAATATTGTAATGGAATGAAGGATAAATCCAAAAAAAGTAGGTGTGATAGTGTATTATTTTTAAAATAATTTATGGTATGATGGGAAGATTTAGAAATGAGAAGATTATTTAGTTACGGTTGGAAATGGAAAGTTGAAGATCCTAACGTTACGGAGATAGTATATTATATTGGGAACTTATACTATATATATGTGTGTGTGTGTGACGGAGATAGTATATTATATTGGGAACTTATACTGTGTGTGTGTATTATTGTGAGTAAACCTTCATTACTGAGATGGAGGTATGATTTTGCAGAGTAAATTGATGGATTTCTTCCCAATGATGGTGCCAAAAGCTAAAATAATTGAAGTTCTTGATAGTGGGATGCTTGGAGGCTCCTTACAATTGGTAAACCTTTCTTTATAATTAGAAAATCTGTAGCACAAGCTAGTTATAGATAACCTGCTTGTTAATTTAGACAACATTTTACATAAAAATAATAATAACTATTCAAAAAAGTATTGGCAAAAAAATGATGTGTAATTATAGAAATAATACCTTTATTAAAAACCTGTGTTGGATGAATATAATGAGAGTGATGAAGTGTAATCAAAAACTGGATTAACTAAGTGAATATGCAAATCAATTTCATATAAACTAACTATAAACTTGATTTATTGAAAAAACATGGTTGCAATCATCCTAAATACCTAAATAAGAAGAGTAAATACATTGCTCACACTTTATTACCTTTATAAATAGGAGTAAATAGTGGCATCATGGAAACTACTAACATATTAATTACCACATCGGTGGTGCCATATTAATGTCTCCTAGTTAAAGAAAAGCATTACAGTATTACACTATGATTTAGAGGAATCGCTTTGTTTTACTTCTATTTGGAGAAATTTAATCTTAAGAAGTCGTCTAGCTACATTTGTTTTATTATATTTTATATAGAATGAAATTCAAAACAATTATATACATTATGATATGAAACAAACAGATGTATGAGAAAATGCACATTCTTTCACCCATGGTGGCTCCCCGAGACTTCGTATTCTTGCGTTATTGTGGACAAGTTGAGACACACGCATGGATAATGGTGGATGTCTCATATGATTCCTTCAAAGATCAGCTTGACACTTCTGCTCCATCTAACTCTTGGAGGCTTCCTTCCGGATGTTTGATTCAAGATTTGCTCAATGGAACATCTAAGGTAATATCCCTAAACCAATCCATTATAATTAATAGAAAGTTGATAATATTGTATAAATGTTACATTAGGGTGTTACAATAGGGCAAATGCAATATGAGCTAATGTAATGGTAAAAAAAATGTTACATTTTCTCTAATGTAACATTTTTTTAGTGATATTGTAACACTTTTGGTTGATACATTAGAGGTTGAAATGTTGTAGTGTTACTAAAAAACAGATAAGGGTGCATGCTAAAGTAGTTTGATTTCGTAATTAGATAAAATTTGAAGATTAAGTAATTTTCGTTCAACTAGAAGCCAAAATCAAATTAAGGGCTTAAATATTTTTAATTGAATCAAAAAAATTAATTGGACTGAACTTTTTTTATCCAATCTGATATGATTTGATTTGGTCTAAATTGATATAGTACATGGTCTATTAGATATTTATTTTATGTGTATATTATAACTTTTTGGAAGTTTGGTGCCAAATAGGTTACATGGGTTGAACATGTTCAAGTGGACGATAAAAAACAAACCCATCGACTTTACAGAGATTTAATTTGCGGTAGTCAAGCCTATGGAGCAAAACGATGGATTGTCACACTTCAAAGGATGTGTGAACGATTTGGATTCTTCTTAGCATTAAGAAGTATACCCGCTGCTAATCATGAACTCGATGAAGGTACCTACAAACAAAGCATCATCTATTTTTATTTATTGATTTTTTCTAATATACGTACTATATAGTTATATACTACATAATAAACTACTCCCACAATTTCACTAGACTGTAAAATTTTCATTTTGTTTATCCTAAAATTTTTGTCACTTTCCTTTTAAAGCAATGAAATTGCACGCGACTCTCTTCATTTATCTCTTCATTTTAATACTACGTATTTCTAATTTCACACAGTAAAGTTGAGTGGGACAAGGTAATAGGGAGTATTATACTATCGTACTTGGTTCGAGTTTAGAGTATTACAAATCATCATGCCGTAATCAATTTATTACACTCACAAGTCACAAGCATAGACTATTATACGAGCTAGTATCTTATACTCCGTACGTAGTATAAGAAACTTTTTTAAAGAATTGCTTCAAATAGGACTAAAATATGAACAAAATGCACAATCATTATGTGATCCTATTCAAAGTATTAACTCCCACAATTGAAAATGTATGAGTCCTGTTTATACATTTTGTCTATATTTTAAGGTATTTAATTTTCTCTCTTTTTTAAAATGAATTGTGTGCGATGGGGACAGTGATCAATGCGCCAGAAGGGAGGAGGAATATGATGCATTTATCACAAAGAATGGTGAAGGGCTTCTGCGAAGTATTGAGCATGTCTGATAGAGTGGATTATATGATCAATAATGGTGGTGTCAGGATTTCACTGCGGGGGCAACCGGGCGGTCTGGTCGTTTGTGCCGCAACATCTCTCTGGCTTCCTCTTCCCACCGAGCAGCTCTTTAATTTCTTCATGGATGAGAAGCTGAGGGGCGAGTGGGATGCTTTGTCCGGTGGCCACCCGGTCACCGAGATAGCTGGCATTTCTACTGGTAGCTATCCTGGAAATCGTGTCTCCATAATTCTGGTAATTAAGAACAAGCTTTGTATCTTACTAATCTTAGTATATACACACCTTAGAACCCGGGGCGGAGCCAGGACACTTGGCTGGACTGGGCCGGTACAAAGAATATCTTTGGAAAAAAATTCACACGGAATTTTTTACACTAAAAATATAGAGATTTTTAAAATTTAGGCTGGGCCAGGGCCAGGGGTGGCCACCCCCTAGCTCCGCCCCTGCTTAGAACAAAGGTCTTCCTTTTGCTTAGTATTGATGATGCAAACGCCGAACTGAGCTCGAACTTGGATATGCTTGAGGTCGAGGTCGAGCTCGATAAGAATGCAATAGAGCTCAAGCTCGATCGAGCCTTGTAATTTAGGCTCCAGCTGGATTCGGGCTAAACTCGAGCTTAGTTCGGGCTTGATTTGGGCATGGTTTGTGCTAGGTTTGGGCTCGACTCTAGCTCAATTGGAATTTTGCTCATTAACTTGTTTCGCCCATTAACTTTATAGGTTCAATCTTGAATAAGATGCTCGAATTCAAGTTAAAAATACTTATATCCATCAACCAATATTTCACTTTATCAAGTGTGAGTATAGAGTCATTAGAATAAAACAGTTAAATTAATCATTAATCTTCATTCATAATTTTATACGATGACTAGCTATTGTTATACTATTAACCTCTACAGTGCAATTAATGAATGTATCATAAATTAGGAATTGTCATATTTTTTTAGGACATCCTGAATGGTTTCATCATTATGAACCTCTTAGCTTGTTCCTTCTGCCTCCACACTGTATCTCCTTACTTGCTTGTTTCTTCTTTACTGTTATAAAAGCAAACCTTGAAATCATTAATCGGCTTTATTTATAAGTATTAACTTTCATGTTAGATAAATACTTTAAGTGACAACTTTCATGTTGCAGCCTCTTGGTAGAAAAGAAAGCAATATGGTAATGGTGCAAGAGAGCAGTATTAACTCCTTGGAAGCGTATGTAGTGTACGCGACAATGAAGCTCCCTGATATCACCTCCGCCATAAACGGAGACGATCCAGTCAAATTCCCGATATTCCCATCTGGTTTCGTGATCAGCGGCGATGGTCGACTGGAGAAGACAAGTTCATCGAGCGGGAGCAGTTCAAAGGCTCGGGCACAATGTGGGTCCCTATTGACAGTGGTCATCCAGAGTATGATGAGTAACAACTCTTTCTCAAAGGAGGACAATATGGAGTGTATGGCCGGTGTGCATGCCCTCATTAGCACCACCATCCAGAAAATCAAAGCTGCTTTGGATTGCTCTGAATTGGACTGATGAGTACTCTTTCTTGCTTGGTTACTTGGACTTATTTCTGTTCCTATCTTGGGTAACCAAATTTACCTTTTGGTTCAAACCAATTGAATGATGTTGTTAATTTTCCATCTTTTTTGTCTTTACTCCCTCAGTCCATTTGACATATGTTGTGGAGATGTGGATTCATTTGAGTGCTATTAAATTTGTCAAAAGTAAGGATATATGACCCACCAAATATAGCTCCTTGGCTATATATAGTGTGAGACTCTGAGGTGAATGGGGTAAATAAATATGTCTAATTAAAGTATATTCACTCCAAAGTTGCATTCCATTGCATAGAGGGGTGGGGCCAGGGCGGTTGATTTTGGGAGAAAGAAGGGGCTAAATCCATGCTAATTGACTTCAACTGTTAAATTTTACTCCGTATATAGCTAGCTCTATATAATTAGTCTGCTCTATAAGGTCTTCCTTTAAGCTCCAGAATTGAAGGAGAAATGCTAACATCAGAATGATGTCAAACTAAATTTTATTTAAAAAGTTAGACACAATTATATAATAGGAATAAGATCAATGGAAACTCCAAAATATGAGTTATAAGTTTTTTCGAGTGAACAGGAGTAGTTTATCGTTATGAATCAAACTATCAAAATTTGACATTATCAGATTTTCAATGTGACAATATACTATCATAATTGGAGATATTTTCCGAGCATGACGATAAATTATTATATTTAGAGATGGGAGCTTAGAAATAATAGTCCATCTGTCCAACAAAATTCGGTTTCATGATGGAGGCTCACTATATTTATTTCAATGTTCCAACGATTGAAGGTTGTGACAAAATATTTCATGATGGAGTTTCCATCCAAGGTCACTTTATCGACAAAATATTTGGACGGTTGTAAATCACAGTGACTCAGTAAGTTCAATGGTGATAGATTTCGTATTCAAGCACACCATAGATATAGTCTCCACCACATTGTAACCTCAACATAACCGCATCATGTTTTGATTCTTAGTTATTGTTCCAATTTTTCACCACTCAACAACCTGAGTCCTAAGCTACACGTGCAGTTCTCGGTATTTATTTCAAAATTCTTTGGTAAAAGATGGACTCCATACTTTATTGCTCTGTACTATTAGAATGTTTTTACTTGGACTGAAATTTGTTGATCTGGTTTGATCTGGTTTGTTGGAGTCTGGTCTGATCTTATAAATGTATGATCTCTATGTATTTTATAATTATTAAAGTTAAGTCTAATCTAGTCTGAACTGACTCGGGCCAATCTAGTCCGGTCTAAACTTGTCTGGAGTAAAAACAGTCAAGTAAAAAAACATCCTTATTCTCTTCTCATAAAACTTTGTGTATTGACGAACCCTTAACCAATCATATTTGAAAAACGGGTAACTCCACACAATGAACATGAACATGATTTTAAACGGCTTCATTCCCCCACACACAAAAAAAAAGGCTGCTTTATCAGCTAGCTACGGCCATTGACCCCGGGATTCACGGACTATACATCCGGCGCCGGCGAAGCAGACTTCCGGGGAACAGAGATACAGAAGGCGAGCTTCAAGTATGCCAGATAGTGTACTCCTTTTACTACCACATCTCCTAGCTCTGACACTCTGTTGTACAGCTCCATTAGTATTTTCCCACTACAACCGGTCACCCTCGTCGGAGTGGCGTCCAGCAAGCGCAACCTACTACGCGCCGGCAGATCCCCGGGACGCGGTGGGCGGCGCCTGCGGGTATGGGGATCTGGAGAAGAGCGGGTACGGCAAGTCCACGGCCGGGCTGAGCACGGTTCTGTTCGAGAGGGGCCAGATCTGCGGCGCGTGCTTCGAGGTGCGGTGCGTGGAGGACCTCCGGTGGTGCATTCCGGGGACTTCCGTGATTGTAACCGCCACCAATTTCTGCGCGCCCAACTATGGCTTCGAGCCGGACGCCGGCGGCCACTGTAACCCTCCCAAAGCCCATTTCGTGCTGCCCATTGAAGCTTTTCAGAAAATCGCCATTTGGAAAGCTTCCAATATGCCAATTAAGTACCGCAGGTGCGTATTCTCTGGATGGTAAAATGTGCACAGTGCACGAGAAATAGCCACATAAATATTAGTAAATAAATTCTTTCTCTCCTTATTTCAATGATTTATACAGTTTTGGTAAGTTTTTCTCTGCAATGTCAAGGAGACCGTCTAGATGTTGACATTGTTGTTGACATTGCAGGGGAAAACTTACCAAAATTGTATAAAATCATTCAAATAAGGAGAGAGATAATTTATTTGCTAATATTTATGTGACTATCACTCATGTCACATGTGCACCGTGCACATTATAGAATTGGAGATGCTCTAATAGGATAAGATAAGATGTTATATGGGTATGAACCAGTTAAACCTACTGCAGTTCACTGGAGTTAGGGGAGGCCCTGTCAAACAATTCAGTGATTATCACTTATCAGCTTAATTACTTTGTATAATTTGCCACATTACCATCACTATATGAAATATAGTTTGGATGAGGTTAAGGAATCCATCTGTTTCAAGAAACAAACTTATCATAAAAATGCTGATTTTCTATACAAGAAATCGTGTTTCTATAAAATGTCAAGTATTTTTCTTAAACATTCTAGGCCATTCAATAAATGCTGCACCAGTGCACCACCAGTCCTACAAAGTGTTACCTAAAATTAGTCTTTTGTAACACTTTTTTAAATATCGTTACATTTTCTTACTAAATGTCACATTAGATGTGATCCTAATGTAACACTTTGTTTTATGGCCTCAAATGTTACATTAGGTAATTAAGTGTTACTTTTAGTCAATTCAAATGTAACACTTTTATATTACTTAGTAAATACCGAGTATCTAAAAATTTGAGAAAGCGCCAAAACATAAATGTGTGCCCGCCACAATTTTCGCCAAATGTATTTTCTATGCCAGATGAAGGAAATAAAGAAAAACCCTAAGGAAGCTGCCAGAGAGATAATCTCATCTTTTTCATTTGAATCTGCACTTGTCTATGCCGCCATCGCTATTTGAAGTTGTCCCCGCGTCCATCGTTATCTGAAGCCGCCGCCTCTGGTCTCAGGGGGAGAAATCACGTCGTTTTCATCAACTTCCTAAGAAGGGGTTGTAGTCTTGCAGTAGCTCTATTTCTTGATTTGAATCTGATACGACATCAACAGAACTTATTCCATAGAACGAGGAGGCTGATTGTTGACTCCATCTTCGATTTACCTTTCACTTGGTTGTTTACCCTTCCGTCGAGGTATTTTTAATTTTTTCATTCACTTAAATGATGTGCGAAATTCTACCTTCCGGAGACGTTCAAAGTTCTCTTCATCTTAGAGTGTCCAGATGTCTAATAACCTGCTTAGTGCAGGTTATCTAATCGCAATTACATTCTGGAAAACTCAACTAAAAAATTTGATGACTCCATTAGTTTCCTTGCAGATGAGATTGCAGATACCTTCATATCGTTGCTACGAGCCAGACAGTGAATGTGGGAAATATCTCGTAAGTGATATGAAAACTGGGGTGATTATCACTGTAGATGTTTCATTGAAGTGATTTTATAACAAACATTTCTAATTTGTTGCAGGCCTAACTAATTTAAAGTGTATTTGTGCTGGGATGATTTGCTAGCAGAACTGGGTGTGAACCACTGACTGCTTCTGTCTAAACTGTTTTGATATCATCAACTGAGAATTGCTTCCATAGAAAATTTTAGAAATATTTGAAGAGACATGCTAAAAGCAACAAATTAAGTATTTTTCTTTACTAAGAATGACTAAGTAAATTGTTTGCTTTCAATTATTCAATTGCCGATGCATCTCTGTACTAAGAAGTGAGATATGCTACTTTGATAGATATGCTAATGTGATAGATGAGTTGTCACCAGAAAAGGCAACTGTTTGTTAAAAACAAATCCTTTGTTCTTGGAAATGAGAGGGGGCCTCCGACGAGTCTGAGTGAAGAAGAAGAAGATAAAAATCCTTGTGAGAAGTCCATCTCCCCCAATCTTGAATTTAGTATGGGCAAAAGATCCTTCTTCTTCCTCCACTTCACCAGACCCCCTACCACTATTCCTCAAAAACATAGCCACTCTGCTTCCCATCTCCTCGTGCCACCGTAATCCAATCAAGAGAACCCTCTTCTCCAGAACCGCCGCATCCGACCTCCATCCTATCAGAAGGGACCCACCCACGCCCAAGATCAAATCTTTCCACGATGGGCATTCTCAATCCGTGCCGGAGAATCAAGAAAGCGGTTCTGATATGACTTTGGGGATAATGCGCTGCGTGAGTGGCGGTGGTTGCAATGAAGATGGCGGTGGTGAGAATGAGTTTGATGTCTTATCCTCATAAAAAGAAGAGTGTCCTTTATATACACTTATTATTATGTAGTTGGTGTCTTACACTGCTACATTCAAGTATTACTTGTTACTTACTTACAAACTTAGGTATGGAGTACAGTATAGAAATAACTATAGATATCAGAAACCTGTAATTTGCTAGTTTGCTAGAATGTTTTTAATGAAAGATATTCTGTTTTGACTCTTCTCTCCTAATCGTTAACAAAATTCATTGCTGAACGTTATTTCTTTTATTCTAATCAGCTAATCTCTCAGCTTTAGAAGACAATTGCGGTGCAAAAGATAATAAGTGTAATTAGCTCTTCTTCCTTTTAATTTTCACTTCTCCAAATTTTCCTCTCCGGTCATCATAATCAATTCAACGACTCTAGTCATCGCAATTTGAAACTTAATCTGAAACTTGACTATTTATGTGATTTACACTGCAATTTGGTGCTTCTCTGCTATTACTATTTCCTTTAGAGCACCCTCAATCTTTGATGCACCTAGTAGTTATGTACTTGATATTTATTTGAATAAATTGAGCATAAATTATTAATCTTTTTTACACAATATTGCAGGCTTAACTGAAGTGTATCTGTCATGGGATGATTTGCTAACAGAATTGTTTTGAAATGCTGGCAACTTCCAACTTAACTGGTTTGGTTTCAAAAGTATATCTCTTCTGGGAATTGCTTCCATAAAAAATGTTCATGAAATTTTGGAAGAGACATGCATAAAATCTATTATGCTTTCAGTTATAAAATTAACTTATTAAGTATCTTTCTCTCTGCTACGAATTGCCAACTGAATTGTTTGCTTTCGATTATTTAATTGCTGATGTATCTCTAGACTTTTAGAATATAATTGTTGCTAGGAGTAGAATAGATGAGTTGCTCACATATTATAGGTTAGTTTGAGTGAAATATGTTCCAAGAAGC